GTTTAAATTTACATTTAAGACATTCGTGTTAAAATAATGGTGCTATGTTGATGGTAATATTGTATAAATGTTGGAAAACACAGTATAGTATTTAAGATTTTAGTATAATTATAAAAATTTGAATAATCTACATTTCTAGTGTTGTTTTAGTCATAAATAAAGCCAAGAGGGAAATTAGTGTGTATGTTTAATTGAGTTAGTGCGGTTAGGAAATGCACGCAGATAAAAATAACATTACACTCCGCCTTTCCTCCTGCCCTAAACTTTAAGCTTCAAAACTTTTAAAAATAGTTATTCCAAACTGATTATCGATCAGTCAAAATTTTTAGTACATTATTCTCAACTTAAAAAGTTAATGAAATATATACGTTACCTTTTAAGTTTCAAAAGTTTCAAAACTAAGTTCAGAGAGGGGAAAAACAAAAAAAGTTGTGAAAAATTGGGACCACATTGTATAACAACAATATGAAAAATACATTTTAATTCTTATTAAACCCTATGAGATATTGAACGGCCCGTGATAAATAAATCACCTTGTATATCTCAAGAATTTAAAAAAACAGATCTTGGGGTTGTTTAACCCCTATTGAAAAATTAGCATAAGGGGAGTTGAGTTTTTAGTATGTTAGTGAGTGTACCCCTTTTAATGATTTTCCGAAAAATTTCGCTTGTTACCTCGTCATTCATAATTCTTTACTATCCTGTCTACAATATAATAATCTAGAAAAAAAAAATTATTTTGGACTTAAAAACGGAAACGGGAACGAAAAGCGCAATTTATTAAGGGACAAAGGATGGACAATTTACGGCAAAAATTTATCTAGTAGCCATTTTAAATATGCCGACTAATATTAAGGAGAAAAAATATTGAGGTTTTTTAGTTATAAAACTTTTAAATCTATTTTTCTTCGATATATGGCGAAAGTTGAATAACAAATTACCGTCATAGAAGTCATTTTCTAGCTTATTTATTGGACGGATTTTAATTTTTTTTTTTTGTGTAAAGCTTTCTATTTTTTACTATGTGGCTAAAAGACCGATTTTTAATTATCTATTAGAAAAGGAGTTAGATTTTTTAGAAAAAACTACAGAAAAGTAAAAATATTAATGCTTATAATAAAATATTAAAAATGAAAAATGGACTTTTAGCCCTCATAGAAAAAATGTTAAGCTTTATGATAGAAAAAATGGTAAAAAACGGTTCGGTAGACACTTAAGAAAGTGACTTCACGTTTTAGTCTTTATTTGTATACAAGTTAGTCCTTTTCATTCCCCTTAAATGTGTTTTGCATGAACTGGGTACACTTTCTCAGTTGCCTAAAACTTCTACATCTTAATATTTTCAACAACAAATTATAGCAACTATAACTTTTACTTGCTGGTAAAAAATTAAAAACTGAAAGATATTTGTAGTAATGTAATTTATGTAAGTTGCTAAATATGTGGCGTTTTGGTGAAAAACTACTTCATTTTTTAATTATTTTATGTTATCTTTAGGATCCGATGACCGGCGAATGGACTTTTTACGTGACCAGCGAGTCGGCACATACTATTCGTGCTTGCAGTACTAGCACTAAAAGTTTTGATTAAGAAATCGCTTTTACTAAGCCGGGCTGTATTATTCAAACTAGTAGGCCTTTCATAGGCCGATGAAAGGTTTGTGATAATACTTATTGGAACGAAATCTCCGTTAAATTGCTTTTAATATGGTATGTAATAATTTCAGGTACTAACAATTATGTTTTGGTGAAATATCCGGCTGTTAATGCATTTTTTTCGTGTGACGTAAAGGAATTACACAGCGATGGCAAAAAAAATGCGTTACCAATTTTTGAAATCAGTTTAATGTTATGCGGTCCTTTTCTGCCGAATAACAATCCTTTTTACGTACAGGTAAATACTATGATCATGGTTCAACAAAACAGTTCGTCGATAAACCTCATATTATATCATCATTCGTCAATCGAGTGTCTAACAAATATAAAACCGCCAAATATTAAAATTATTATTATTAATTGAAATAATGATTATTAGTAATTTTGTGTTCCATAAAGGAGTGTTTTTTTTTCTGGTATAGATTTCGCATAATATTATATAATTTTCAAAAGAGAAAAATTAATATTGCGTTATTACTTATGAAAATATATATATAAAAGTTTATTTAAATGAAATGAACGAGGATATCAAAAAACTTTTTGTGAGTAATATTTGTTTTCTAAATGAAAAGTAATTTATTAGTTTTGTGATGTACAAAGACCGCTTTTAAAAAGATTAATATAAAATTCTGTATCATAATTCATATGTTTGTGTAAAAAATAAATGACTAATAAAATTGTCACTGCCAGCGGTTTATAGGTCTTATTGATTTGTCAATGCCCATGAGGCTTATATTTCAACTCTGTTAAATATTATAACTCCTTTAATACGTAGCCGTGCAAAGCCTATAATGGCCATTTCCCATCCAGTGCATTAGGACTGTCAATTTAAAAATAATATCTGGATCAGAAATGGTAATCCTTTGTCACATACAATGTATAAAACGCAGCCAATATAAGCACATAGCGGACTGAACACTATCTTATTATACCTTATATTATAGGCTAGGTGGTCGTACGAGATATTAGTTGATATTATTAGTCAAGCCTTGGAAGTTCAAAACAGTTTCATAATTTCCTCCTTTTAAACCAAATGAATACAAACTAATTACCAATCACACATCATGATTAGAAACAAAACAAATAAATTACACAAATACACCTTAAAAACATCTGCGTTTAAATATTTGTAGGTGTTTGGTATAAAGAGTAACGGTAAGATTTGCTTTCCATTACTTTCCCAACTTCACGATACTAATAGAAACTCTATAACGATATTAAAAACTAAATTTAGGATTACGAGGGTTATAAAATATGTAATTTTAAATGAATAAAACTCAATAACATAATGTTTATAACATAAGTATCATAAAAAATACAAATAAATAATTAATTAAAAATACAGTGTGTGAACAAATATACTAAACACATCTCTAAACATTAATTTTCTAATAACTGAACGTGATAAATTTTTTTAATAAACGCCTATCGTAAAAACATTGATAATTTTAAAACTAGTAAACACTACTGGTGATCTATATGATGTAAGCTACTCAATTTTTACGAAAAGATTAATATTTAAAAAAAAAAATTTTTTTTCTTTTCTTATAGATACATATTTTACTATATTTGTCAATACTTTAAACATTTTTATCTTCAACCCTTGTACGTAAAAAAAGTATTGAATTCTTTTTTTCAAGTAGGAAAATATGTTTTTAAATCTATAAATATGAAGACAAAAGTTTTGTTCTCTCCTCATATTATAAACATGAAACATCATTATCAAATGTACTCACTTAGGAGTTATGTGGGTGATGGGAAGAAGAGAACTCAGAAAAAAAGAAAAAGGTTCAGATCTCCTCTCGAAAAAGTCAACCAATCAAAGTAGTGGTATCTACATTACGGCCAAGTCTGTTTTATACCTCATTCAGAAAGGTTAAGTTTCATTCAAAAACTGGCCAAGTGTTAAACAATACAAATAAAACAGTAGTATTGCTCATGAAAGTAGGAGTGAAGTTTGGTTATGAACTAAAGAAATAGCAGACTTGGCCACAATGTAGATATCACTACTTTGATAGGCTGATTTTGCAGGGGGTCTGAAACTTGACCTTTATTTACTGTTAGGTTTTTGTTGGTGGTTCTTTTCTAAATATGACTTATTCTTAAATTTCTAACAGGTCGCAGATAGTGAAGAATAATAATTTTTTTATCGGACGTAACTTCTGTACCATTATGTGTACCACAATAGTATGCAATAGTAATTGATGATCACGACTATCACAGCCTTTAATAGAAGCCTTAGGCACACAATTCTTGAGTTCTAAGCGTCTTTTTCTAGATGTTATTTTTTTTATAATCTTATTCGTGGCTCAATTGAAGATAGTCATCTCTTAAATCTACTTAATTTGACAGTTCCTTCCTCCAACTCTAGTAACCGTCCAACATTTCATCTTTTAAAGCATCGAACACTGTGTCGCTTTTTTACATTTTTTGATAGTCTATTGGCTTTGTGTAGTAGCACTAACACCATCGATTTTTTTTATTCATCATGTGCCGAAATACAAGATAGAATTCTATCTTATTAAGTCCGAATACTGTTTTAATTCATGCCTTTGTATGTTTTTTCTGTATTATTTGAATATTTTACCTGTATTTGTATTAGCTACCTTGATACGATTCGTATTGTATCTATTACCACTGGCGGCTACTGGTTTTTTTGTAAACCAAATATATATGACAATTATTATAAGATGAAATATAATATAACGCTAACATTCTTGAAGTTTTTTTTTACCTATTTATTAAATTAAAAATCTAATGTTGCCATTTAAACGAAGTTTATACTTCTTTTATACAAAAGGTATAGTGATAAACATTATCTAAGTATTGAAAAATATAGTAAAATATGTACCTGCAGGTTACAAGAAGAGATTGAAAATTTCCGGAAAAATTGAAATCAGGAAAAAAATACCGGAGAAAATCGGTTATTTTCGGAAAAAAAAGGAAAAATTGGGGGAAAAGAAAAAACTGTATGGCAACATATGATATTACACTTTTACAGTAATATTAACTATGAACTACCTAACTTTTAGTTATTTTTATTTTAATTTCCAAATAGAGCGATGTATAGGTTTTATCAAGATTTCTTTTTAAAATTTAACAATTGTTATAATTTTTAAAAACTTTTATGAAACAAGCACCTAATTAAGTTAAAATAATTTTAGATTTTGTCCTCAATTATCTGGGTTAATACTTCTTTTTTACAAAAATTACAAGAAAATATGACATAATATACATAGCATATTATATATAAATATATTTTTAAAAATTAAAAATTGTCCATTCTCTGGTAAAACAAAAGTAACAATTGGCATTTAATAACAAATTTTAGTATATAACTAATTATTATTTTTTATTAATGAGAGATGAAAATGTTTCGTCATCGCTAATATTGGCATCTGGATCACTTCTATCTGATTCTGTAGTTTCTGATCTAGAACTTATACTTATAATTTGGTCATCAATATTAATCGATTCAGAATCAACTTCTTTAGTTCTTCTTTTTTTATTATCCGTTGTTTTTATATTATTAGTTGTAATACTGTTAATAATATTGAGGTTTGATCGAACGGCAACTAATTTGTGTACTCTATCTATTTTCAGTCTATTTCTCGATTTCGTATGTACTTTACCAAAAGCCGACCAATTTCTTTCACAAGATGCCGATGTGCAGGGCAAACTAAGTAGTTTTCAGGTTCATTTGTTGCTAAGCCTTTCCACCAAACATCAGGAGAACAGTATTCAGCTGATTCTATTATGTAAGATAGTCCAAACAAACCTGTACATGTACGGTACTCTGCCAAGTTTGCCAAAATTGGTCTCTGGTCAAGGTTTAACCAACTGTTTATACTTAAAATAGTATTTATAGCATCAAAGATTTCAGTAGAGTTTAAATCAATACCTTTATATTTAGGGTCTAATAAGTTAGCTGCACTATGAACAGGATATAAACAAAATGTTTTCCTCTTTACAATTATGGAATTTACTTTTTCTTCTTTTGTTGTTGTAAGTGGATAGGTTACCATTCCTTCTTTTATGTCTTTTACAATTTTTGATAAAATTGCATGACCTTCTGAGAGTCTAGCTTTATCTGATTCAGATTTTGTAATACCAATTGATATTGGAGACAATATTGATAATAATCTTTTGACATTCACCCAAAATACATCTTCATCTAGTAAATTTTTTTGAGCGACTTTATCAAAAACCTTTACTAATTTAGGAGCAATATCAGTTTCCTTTAAGCTCTGTTTATTTTTTAATAGACTTTGCATCATAATAACGCTTCCAGCCCATCTAGTGTTACTTGGCAATTTTAGTGTAGTTGCTGACTGTCCATAAAGTTTAAATTGGTTATCTTTGAATGTAGAAAATACTACATAAGTATTTTTAACATGTTTTACAATGCATCTTACTTTGGATATTATATTATCAAATGATGGAAGTGCACATAAATTTTTAAGCAATAAATTAAGTCCATGAGCTAAGCAGCCTACAGCAAATATATGTTTGAATTCATTTTCCTCTTTGATTTTAACCCAAGCACCTTTGATAGCACTATCATTATTTGTACATATACGTAAAAGCTTTTCTGGCCCAATTTCTTTTAAAACGGATGCAATTTGATCTTTTATATACTCAGTTGTTTCTCGATTTGTCCCTGGCACAACGCTTTTATAAAATACTGGTTCAGGTGTAGTTATGACAAAACTAATTATTCCACCACCGGTTACATTAGTCCAGCCATCAGTTAATAATGCTAGGCATGTTGCATTAGTAATTTTGAGTTTAACACTATTCATTACTCGCTGATACTCGATATCCAGTAAAGGTGAACTGATTGAATATGGAGATGTAATTGTAAATGTAGGCCTTAAACTGGTAAAAAATTGTTTCCAATAGGTAGTATTAAACATAGACAAAGCGGCTCCAGAATGAACAATTGCACGTGCTTCTTACACTATCAACTATCTTCTTGCTGTGCTGTTGTCATTTTATCAAAAACATTTGAAATTGGTTGTCCACGAACGTTTTTAATTGCGAGGGGAGTGTCAATTTATGAAGTGGATGCTGATGTGAACACTAAAAATAAACATGATATTTAATTTTGTAATTTGTTTATAATTATTTTCTTAATTTATAAACTCATTTGTTTTAATCAATTATTTAGCCCGTCATTTCAACATTAAAAAAAAAACGTGAGCATCAAAATCCTAATCCTAATAATGAAATATAACAAAAATGTTTGTATATAAACCATTAGCTTATGGTTATTAGTTATTACTTATTACTAATGAGTAAAGATATACAAAAGAAAACTAGTGTCCTACAGAACTAACAAAGTTATAAAATAGTGTTACAAGTAAATATTTTATATAATTAAATTATTTATTGTTACAAATATAGCATTGAGAATCAAAACTAGTTTTAGTGATATTGTTATTGACTTTGTGTAAAGGAAAACACTTACGGCCTCATCTTTAGGAAATATGGGTATCTACCTGAAAACAGATATTTATTTTTAATAACCAACATTTCTGTTGTTTAACTTCAATTTAAAAAACATTGATTTAACATAATAGTTACTTAATTCTGCAGATAGTAATAACTAAATACTATATAATTTATAGTATTATCTGACTAGTATGTAGTTTTGAAAGAAAAAAGAAAATTGTGTAATTTTAGTATATTTTAATATTTAATCAATGATAATAAGATGATACGGCAAAAATAAAAATGTCTTAACTATTGCCTAGTACAGAGTACTTACCTTATTTGATATATAAAAGTTAGGAGTGCCAGGACTGCCAACAAAAACTCGATTAAAACTTGTTCATATAAGAAACGCGTTTTTAATTTTTATGTCTCGATTCTGCTGTTATTTGTTAAAAAATAAAACAAAGCACAGTAACCAATAGTCTTATCAATTTCCACTTTTTTAAACCGTTGTTATAATCATCGAGATGGATAAACAATATCACAGTATCTGGCTCAAGGGTTATGATAAATGTATTTTTTTCTCTTTGGAATTTCATTACTAACTTGTTAGATTAACTATTGGATCATCTATATATGATTCAAACACAATTGATTAGTATTTATACGGAAATAAAACTTCTTAAATTATTATATCAGATCTCAAAAAAATTGTGATTCTCTGAAATTTATTATTTTAAAAAAATCCCAATTTTTTCATTTTTTCCGATCCTTAAAAAATAAACGTTTTTTCCTGGAAAATTTCGGGCATTTTGATCTTTAGTTACAAGTATAGGAAAAAATAATTTACAAAATAATCATATTAAACAAGTACCAAGCCTAATGTCCTCTTATTGAGAGTTAAAATTATTATGGTATTTTTCTTTTTTCTTTGGAACCATTTATTATGAAAAACTAAGAAAATCGATTAAATATACTCTATACTCAATAAATGCATATTATTTTAGCCAAAGCATCTCAGTCGACGGCAAATGAGTCCCTAGAAATTGATGAATTCAGTGACGTATACTTGCGCTGTCCTTTATAAAACAAACATAATCGGAGGTTCAAAGTAACTGGACGGCGGTCATATTATATTTTAATTTATAAATAAAAAATGTATACAAATTGCCTGACAGATTCGGCAATTTAGAGGTATTACTTTCTCCACGTCATTACTCTTTTTAAATTTGTTTCCTTTTAATTATTACTTTAAGAATTAGTAAAAAAATAAAATATTTAAAAAAACCCTTAACCACAAAAATAATACTCTATAGCGTATTTAATTATTTTATTTTTATACTATATATATAACCACAAGTGTTGCTTAAGTTTTTCTACTTTAAGAATTTTCGGTCACATGTTTTATGTACATTCGGAATAGATAAAAAAATGATTACTCAACCGTTTACATTTGATAACAAACCTACCAGAAATGAAAATTAAAAATAAGTTTGTTTACAGGATGATGTGGACATCAGCTCAATAAACAATGAACGGGTGGGCGAACCACATTACAAACGAACGGGTCACGAGCTAAAGATATGCGAACTAAACGAAGACGACAGTGTGCTGGGTCATTCCGCGTGAAATCACCGAATGGGTGTGCGACTATACTTCAAAAATGTTTGAAATTTTTATCATACATTCTTTATAGGTCTTTAATAACAAAAAAACTTTAAAAAAATGTTTAAAATTTTTTTTGGACCTAGGTAGGTCAATTTTTAAAAAAAATTATCCAAAAACACCTCATGTTCCCGACACTGTAATTTAACCATAGATAGTGGTATAGACATGAAACCTGCACATTTAAAATTATAATTAAGTGAGTTTTAAGCATATTTTAAGAAAATATATATATTTTTTTTTAACCCTGGACATTTTTTAAATTTTTTTTATATTTTCAAAAACTTTTTTTGGGGTCAAAGAGTTAACAATTAAATACAAATAATTTTTTTATATAATATTTATGTTACTTTCTTATGACCCATATCGTCTTTGAACCAATTAAGTTTTTTTTTTGCTATTAATTTACGGCTTCAAACATGGGTATTTTGCTGAAAACTACTTACCTTAATGACCCACATCATAAATGTGACTGAACGAACATTTTCCAAATTCGTGCAATACTTACTTATAAGTGAATAGAACATATGGTTAGGTTAGTTTGGTTCCCTTGGAATTTTGAACAATAATTAACAAACTATTTTAAAAATTATCCTCAAACTAAGAATTAATATTACTTAATGAATATAACAATAATTTAAACATAATAATTATGTTGTTAAATTTGAATATTACGTAGGTTTTATATTTTAAAGGAGTTTAATATTAGTCTATAAGTAATAATTTTAAGATAATTAAGATTATAGTACATGTTAACAATTTTGCATCAGTTTTTTGATTCATTTATTGTAATAAATAAGCACTTTTTTCATTGAATTATGAATATTACATAATATAGTTTAAAATATTACAAATGTATTAGGTACGACGACATGAAATATTATGTCATTGAAATTAAATTTGACATACTTTATTTCTATTAAAAAAATATTGAACATAGAAAATTACTATTGCTTAACTCCTAAAACATATAAAAAAAATCACATTCTAAATTTATGAACATTTTTTTTTTTAACAATTTAGCACAATCAATTTTAAGTATGTCTGTTCTAAAATTACCATTTAAAATGAAAAATAAAAATTTATATTGTTAGCAGTTGTCTGTTCAGAGTTCTTATAAAAGTACAAAGGATTGCGTTCCAACTTTTTCGGATAACACTGACTAGAGTAGTTGCGTCCGACACTTCAAAAAACAAAATATTTGTTAATATTAAGGTTATAACATTATAATTTAGGTAGTTAAATACATTATTTTATTTTACCTATTATTTTCTCAGTTTTCACAATGATGTAGGTTTAATGTATAGATCCACATTCTACATCATATGTATGTATCAAACAAACGCTTTTAAAATATCTTGTCACCAATTATAACATGTTGCAAGCTAACTTTATTGATGTTAGGGAAGAGTATGAAAAATATTAATTATCGGTGCCTTTTACCCAATACACAGAAAACAAAATATTATTATAATTACAATAGTTTTAAATAATTTTGAGTGGTTCACTTACCATTAAGCATTTTATAATTTTTAAGTAAACAAATCAAACTTCTTTATTCCGGAAAGTTTAAATGTGATTTACCATAATCAAAAGGTATGCCGAAATTTTCTTATACATAGCATTATTTTTTTCAAAACCACTTTAAAGATAAGCATGGTTTAGTTTAAGAATACCAATTTTCAATGAAATTAAACGCAAATATATTTAAAACTAACGTAAAAAGATATGTGTTAGTATTAATGTAAACAGCACATAGCTATACAGTTATTGACTATTAAAATTTAAGTATTTCATTAGCACGGCAATTTTTAGGTTATATTTCATTATAACAGTATCAAAATGTACAAAATATTATTATTAAAACGATTCGTGGTCACTTGTCAGATTGGTCTTGACATTGATAGGTAAAATTATTATTTTGAGTGTAAACTAGTGTAGGGCGTTAAAAGAATCACCCGATACATGGCCCAAAAATCCAAATATGAACTAACTTTTGAAGCACCCCCCTCCTCGAAACTTTTTAAAACATACTCTGCATGTCTGTAACGATAAAAATAATGTTCTAAATTTTTTTTTTTTATTATTTTGGCCAGTTTTACTATTTTATTATACTTTTAATACTTATATTACCTATTTGTATATGACATACTTAAGTGGATTTTTACATTATTACTAATGATAATTGATAGGTCAAAAAGTGAATATGCTCTAGGGTTGCAATTGGTTGATTTTAAATAACAAACAATTTTTTTTAAACCTTTATTCTAAAATATTTTTGTGAAAAAAAACCTGTATACCGTTCTAAAAGGAATAAATATTACTGATTTTATTTTTTACAAATTCAAAATCAGTTAAGCTATTAGAATATTATTTCAAACGATATTTGTTGTTATTATAACAAAATATGTCAATTTTTGATTGGTTACATAGAGTGTAGACAATCTCTGTTTAAGTTTATATATTTTGTATCATACCTATATTCCATGGGTGGTCACAAGCCGTTATTTTGGAGCCGCAAATTTATAAAGCTAATTCGAAGCGAGCCACATTGTTAAGAGATGTTTATAAAATGAAGAAATGAAAATGTATTAATTTTACTCTAAGCTTGGTTTCAAGAGCCGCACGAAACTGATTAGAGCCTCGTTGTGGGCACCCATTCATAGAAAAAATAAAGCAAAATAATTTAAATATAAATTCTTAAATACAAGAAAACATTTAATACAATTTCTAAAATTACTTTAACAATTTCCTCATTATGTTTCTCTCAATAATATGATCATCACGTTTTTCGTGTAAAAATTAAATTGTACCAAATACATCTTAACAACAAAATTTCAAAACAAGTTCGGTACACATTATAGTGTACTTTGATAACGACTAAGTAGCAAAAGTTAATATGCTATAGTATGGAGATAACAATGGACTGGCCCGTTGAGGCATTGGGTAAGATACTTACATCTGCAACGCATTAACAAAAATTTAGAATCGAACGATGTACATTGTCCATAACAAAACTATAGAAAAAACTTAGTTTAGTACGTATATGGAGTACATAAACTATGTATAATTATTACAAATTATGTATGTTAACACACAAGCCCGCATAGTCGTCCGAAAATGGATACTATTTGAACTAACATGTTATTCGAATGTGAATTACATATTTGTTAAGTATAATAAGTAAATATTTTTTTTGTTTTATTGTGTATCTGCAGTAGTGTGCTAAGCTAAGGCCTAGAAGCAACTTCATTGTAAATTACTATACTTATGTAATCTTTTATCCAAGTTGTAATTTATAATATAGTCCATATCTTAACCAAAAATATATTATCTTCAATATGCTACACAATGTTAAATGAATCGCTTCGTGCAAAAAGGGTTCAAGTCCACTATACTTAAGTGCTAATAATCTGGACTGCATTTGAAAATAATAATATTGTTTTACAGAATGTAATTTTACTGTTTAATACCTATTAACTTTGATAAAGCTCTTATATTTTTATGCATTTTGAAACATATCAAACGTTTTTTTTCATTTTTCCAAAAGTTTAAAGTTAAGAACTAAGGCCCTATTTGCATGAAGCGATTCAAATGGTTCATCGGTTTTTTTAAAATTAAAATGGTAATAACAACATTATAAACAACTGTAAATCGTAAAATGAAATGTTTGACTTTTTTTTTATTGGCTGTTTTTGAAATAGTCTCAAAATTTAAAATTATAATGCTACCTAAAACAAATAAATTTAATGTCAGGTTAAAATCAGTAATTATTTATAATTAAAGTACCAAAACCGAAAACTAAAATTAAGAAAAATCCAATCAATTAACCCTTTTTTGGTCGACATACCATTTGCAAAATTCGCTTTAACTCACCTTTAAAGCGACTGGAAAAATTCGGTGTCGTGAAGGATCGAGTTACCAGTTGGGCGCTAATTTTGTCATATACGCACTTTCGTACATGAAATGTTATAAATACACACACACTTTAAATAAAATTACTTAATACCTTGTATCTGACAACTAAGGTGCCTTTTATAATAAGTGGTGCGAAAAGGGGCAGAGCTCTAGTCGCCTTTTCCGGATTGATCTTGCCTCGGGTGCTTTCCATCCAACGCCAGGCCTCCGATTATATATTATAAATAGAAATAACTCGACGCAATTATATTGCCTAGATATTTACTATAATAAACGGGTTAATAGCCTAACCACTAGTTATAACTCTAGCAAGAACCCAGAGCCGCACTTGGCTTCCCCAGGAGGTGCAGCCTTTATTACAATACACTTATTTTTGTATAAAGACACTTAGTTTTTATTACCTTCGGGGAGATGAGAGTAAGGTAACACTTTTAAAATTAAGTAAAAGAAAAGTAACTCAAATGAATAAACACGCAAAAAGATATAATTTTTATAAAACAATGTAAAATCAAAAAACAACAGCTTGTTTTAAAACAATGCCACCGACATCGTATTTTGGGGCCACTTTAAAATAATAGGCATGATTGTAATTTTTGCAGTGTTGACAATTTCGTTTTGTTTTGACTGTTTGGCCTACATTTTATTGCTTATTTTCTAATATACATTTATCTTCAAGAACTATACTATACAAGTAATAAGTTATGTATGATTTCTTAGAGTAGTAATACTTAGCACACGAGTTCGTAATTTATACTGTTTTCCAATTTTCACCCCTTACTTTTGTTTTTTACCCTCGCAGACTACCTTCTATCAACAAATTTTATTTTTAATTATTTATTTTAAAACATTATACCTAAAATTAAAAATTGTGTTAGGCCGTAGACGGTCGATGTTTCACTCATTAACATATTTTTGAAACCTTCATGCTAGGTAGCTATGATGGTTATAAACAAAGCTAAAGTTTAAGTTTGTTAATTTTAATACATTTTTTACTACTCATTTATTAACTATTTTAAAACGCTTTTAATTTAAACTACTTTAGATGTTGTAAATTAATAGATATTTGCTTGTTTTGGATACATTTGAATATGTACACTTAGGGCGCATCCTATTTTTTTTGTTGTTTACTTTCTTTTCTAGGTACTATAAATTATAATATTGTCTAAAGTTAATACAATTATAATACTTCTAAATACCTAGTTTTAAATGATGAGGTAATATAGTATCATCAAATATTATCGTAATTAACCCTCTAATATACAGTTACTGTTGAAACGTTAACCAAAAAGCTTTGTAATTATTATGTCGGGTTGGTGCATTTAAGTATTTGTTTTTATTAGACAAACAATCTGGACTATTGCATCAATAAACAATAAGAACGATAAGAGTATTATAACTGATTTCCTTTATACTCAATAAGGCGTGAACTGTGAAACACTTTTAGTGCCAATGTACAATAATATTTTGTTGTGATAACATCAGATGACTGCAATATAATGTACGCATATTTAAAAAACAATAAGGTCATACATATATTCTTTAATAATATGCTAAGAGATTTGACCGATTCGTTGTATATAAATCCATTATGCAAAAATTGTTGTATACAACAAATATAAGGATATTTTGTAAAAAAACAAACAAGTAATATTGTAGAGTATTGTGTTATTCAATACTCTTGAATGGTTTGCTTATTTTCAAATGGCTGGCAATTAAAAAACAATTTTAACGATAATAATAGTAAGTGATTGAAGGACAGATGCTCTCTGCAAAATTCTGTCCAATATTATCCTGTCAGATTGTTAATATATTCAATAATCGAACAATAGTAATTTTTTACTTTTAACGGCAATAACTTTTTTTAATATCGTTGAAAATTTTGTTAAAAATGCATTCTCCCCAAAACGAGGGAAATTTTGTTCCGTCGAGTCCTAACCTAACCTAGCCTATTTGTTACTTATCTATAATATTATGCGTTATCGGTTATTACCATAGACCTATAAAGAAATGGACTTATAGCAGAGAGATAGATATCGATATCGTTCAAAAGAGACAGAATGAGTTGTTAGGTATGGCATGGAAGAAATCATATCATGGAAAAATATTAATATGAAAATACCCGATAACGAAATTTTTATATTAAAAATGTTTAAATAATTTTATTTCAATATTGAATTTTAATTGTTCTCATTATGGCTTAACAATGAGTTTCGCCACGAATCAGAACTTATGACATAACTAATTGTGACCAAAATATACGATTTATTACAGATTTATAACAATAAAGACTATGAAATATACCCAAAAAGTTTGTCTGTTTAGACAGCAAAAAAAGAGAAACAAACAATGTATCCAAAATATAACAATACATTTTAACAAACTAAATACAGCTTTTTATGACTCCACCACACCCTGGAACACGTCGACACAGTAGAACAGCAAGGTTCGGCGGTAATTGTAGCGGTCAACCATCGGCGGTCGGAACAGCACAGTCGGGCGGCACTAACAGATGCAACAACCCGTGGTACAGCACAGTCGGGCGGTGGTAGTAGATGCGGCCAACTCGTGGTACAGTCAAACGCCAGTTGGATTGCGCAACACGTGGACTCAAATGGAAGCGGCCACTGCAAAACGACGACCTAAATATATGCGACAATAATCAGTTTAATGTTTTAATCGCTAATAAATATGAAAACCCGTGGTGGTTTAATAAATCCATCAGTAGATATTATATATTTATGTAAAATTGAAATAGTTTTTAAAATTTATAAAAATGAACTTTCAACAATACCCAATAATTTAATCAATATTTTAATTAAAAAAGCCACCTCCAAAAAGTAATTTAAACATTACTAAATAACCACATTTTAAATCGAGACCCATTAAAAACCATTTACTGCAACTAACTCATTTAGTATGTCAAAGCTATTTTAGAATCCTGGTCCATTATTATACACATTAATTGAGTCAGCCTAAAAATCGAATAGGATCCCATTTAACAAAAACAATCCATTTTTAAAATTAATCAAATTTATTGTTACCTATTATTATACTTTGTTATTACATATTATTATTTATTATTCTTATATTTATTATTATTAAACTTATTGATTTTTTTATTTTTAATACATATTAGTTGTAGCTTGAAAAAGAAACAAAAAATGGTATTGATTTTACAATACCTAGTCAATTTGTTTAAACTTAGATGCAGATATGTGAGGGATTTTCACACACAACTATACCTAATAACTTTATTTTTTTTATTTTTTCTGGCTTTTTGGTCTAAAACGTCAAAAAACAGATCACATGCAATCTACTTAACAATTATTACAGCATATTCTATAAATTATCATTGAAGTGTTTCCTTAAAAGCAATTTTGTTCACTTGTAATAATTCTTACAGACCTGTGACAGCCTCGGCTCTACGATTATAAGTTTGGATAACTCAGTTACAAAACTGTTATAAATTAAAACATACTTGCCATGTTGTAGGACATGTGAAAATTGCAATTTGATGATCAACTTGCATATTCTTTATGAGATAATCTGGACGATACGCCTGACCAAGTTTCCAACTAGTCATGTTAAATGTTTTGGCTGCCAATTTTTATGGTTCTTGCCCACATACCAGGAAGTGAAGCTAGAAAATGAAAATAAGATAAATAATATTGTACTCTGATGTTAAAAAACAAGACATTGTATATGTGTTATTTGGTCCACTAAGTTTTTGCAAAAAAAAAAAAAAAACCAGTACAGTGGGGTCGGTGTATAGTGGGGACGGAGCATAGTTGGGTCGGGGCATTGTGGTGACGGGGAGGTCACAGGTTTACAGGAATTTTTAAATCTGAAAGTGATAAAATCACTTTCGAAAAAACGCTTCGATGCAAATCGGTAGTTAGTATTTTCAAGCCAGTACAGTCCAAACCAAGCACAGTATAAACCAGCAAAGTTAGAAAGTTTTAAATGAAGATTCTGTATTTACAAATGAGCATCAAAGCGTTTATTTGAAAGTGATTTTATCCGAGAGGACTAGTACAGTAGAGTATTGGCATAATGTAATCAAAGCAATGAGGAAACGGAGAGGTCACAGGTCTACAAGAATTATTATAAATAAAAGTGATAAAATTGAATAAAATCGCTTTCAAATAAACGCTTTGATGCTCATTTGTAAATACAGAATCTTCATTTAAAACTTTCTAACTTTGCTGGTTTATACTGTGCTTGGTTTGGACTGTACTGGCTTGAAAATACTAACTACCGATTTGCATCGAAGCGTTTTTTCGAAAGTGATTTTATCACTTTCAGATTTAAAAATTCCTGTAAACCTGTGACCTCCCCGTCACCACAATGCCCCGACCCAACTATGCTCCGTCCCCACTATACACCGACCCCACTGTACTGGTTTTTTTTTTTTTTTTGCAAAAACTTAGTGGACCAAATAACACATATACAATGTCTTGTTATATTTTGTTGGAATGGTCGACAATTCATGTTTCAATCGTTTGTACTCCATAGTTTAAATTAATTAGTGGTTTTGAATTAAAAAAAAAAAAAAAAAAATTGAATTTGTGTAAACTTTAAGTCAAAAGTGGTACTTGAGCACAAAACCTAATAGTATCATTCTGCATAGATATAAATAAAATTGTTTTAATGATTTGATCAATTTTTTTTAAAGATTTAAGGTGTTTTTGTTAAAATATACGAAATCTGCGAAAACACAGTTTCCCGGCAATTAAAAAAAAACTGTAGTGCCGAATTTTTTTCCCGTTTCATATGTTATGGGTACATATGAGTTCCAACTACTGGCAAATTTTCAACCCAAAAGTTTCAAAATTACCGCTAAAAACCCCGAAAAACAAAAAAAATTGTACCCCCCCTAGGGGGGTGGGAAATGGGTATAGTTTAAGTTTGACACAACTGACGTGTGCGGGCATACCAAATAATTATTTCTTATACATTTCAACTCGATCCGACTATTTTTCTCGAAATTATAGCCAGTAAAAGTTCTAAATTAAAAACTCGTACGGTTTTTTTTTTGTTTTTTCAACTTTCGTCTGTGAAGAATTAAACTTTTTCAACTTTTACCCCCCCAAAGTACCAACTAGATGAAATTTGCGGTTATAGAGTTGCTACTCGAAGGAATTGGTCCAGTATTAAAAAAGTTACAGTGTATACAGATAAAAAAAAAACACACATCAGAGTAAAACCAATACCTTCTCGCTTTGCATCGAAGCTAAAAAATGTATGTAACATACACAATGATTAAGTAAGAAAACATATTATAAACCAGGAAGAAATATAATATAATAAAAAGAACTCGTCAATTGTGTAGACAGACTAGGTTTTGATAAAAACTACTACAGGAGCAGCTGTCCCAGGTTTTTCAATATTGTAATTAAATCCCCAGTACTACTTTAAATTAAAAAAACTCGTGGTTGGTACCTGGGGACATTAGGTGTTACGTTAGTGAGGAAAAATAAAGTTGCAATTAATATAACAAGCTAATTTTAAACGATTTTACAATAGAGCATATTTTATTATATTACCTTCAGTAGTGATAAACATTTTTTTTTAATATTTAAGAAATTATTTTTCGTCTCTTATCATAAACAATGATTATGTACAGTAAATAATTATTGCGTAACCTATATTCCCTGAACAGACTTGTATTATTAATATAATATTATTATTGTACGAGTACACTAAATATTTACCCATTTGTAATACAAAGTGGTTGAAACTTTGCTCGTTAAATCATTGCAATGATTTTTTCAGATCAACAGCGAAGTCGACGAGAAACGCTAGATGTGCCCATCTTATTTCGATTGAATCTTCGGCCTAAATTCGTTAACGATAAGTAAGTGTCAAACAAAATATAAGCGTAACCAGGGAGTTATTACCTCAACCTTTCTTGCCGAATTTAACCAGCTAGCCGCCATTTAAGATGAACCAATAGTTTTGATTTTAATGATGTCGTGGTACCGTGGTTGCTCAAAAAGCTGTAACGTTCATTAGTCTTATGTAATTTAGACGAGCGTTGGCCGTTGAATATGACAATACCGTTTAAGCATACCACGTGAAAATCAGATATTTTGAGGAATCTTAAACATTCCAGTCCCTGGTTGTTCACCGTCTCTCCGGAATAAAAGTCTAAAAGATAAAAAAATTATTTTATTGTATTTGATGACTTCAATTTCAAAAGGGAAAATATTAAATCAGCTTTACTCGACGAGGAAAATAATCAACTATGTACTATATTCCGACTTCAGCAAAATTTTGGCTATTTAGTTCTTCATGTTGAAGTTTGTAGCTTCCCAGAAAGTGGTCGACTACGTTTGGCGGTAGGATGTTGTACACTAAAGCTTCGTTACGTCTTCGGATTTTGGATGACCTCGAAGATTTATCCATCTGAACCCATAACACATTGCGGTTGATACCGACTGTAGGAATTTTCCAAATATTTGAAACGTAAATAGGTGATACTTACGTTCCTATAGCCAAGTAAACGAGTACCATGGTGACGGAAGTCAGCAAAAACGATAAAATCCTGACAAAAAAACAAAACGCTGGTAAAAATATAACAGTAACTCGTTTAGTATATTTAAAAACCCGACCTTGTAGCAACTATCATACGTTTACAAAAACTTTTAAACAACTATTACTGTTTCAAATATATTGGCCTACATGGGATACCCAGTAATGTTGAATATATTACGGTTATAACAGGACATCGCAATTAATCATTAGGTAGTTGAGTTTGCGTTTTAAACGTTCAGTTTAAAGTAGTGTAGAGTGCTTTACTATTTATTTATTTTTCATTTAAAATCATAGTGCGCTACCTATTTGTTAAGTTCAAGAAATAACGGCTGAGCCTAAATATAGTATAGTAGCAGGTTTGTAATAGGTTATATTAAAACTTCGGACAGATACTACTATTATTATGTGACACTTAGCCTCAATAATTAATTTAGTGTTACTAGTTTTGTTTTGAAGTGATTTTCGCGCCTGGATAGTTATTACCGTATCACTTTATTGCTTTATATTTTTCGTTTTTATTTAAGTAAAGTACTTACACTAAAAAAACTATAATATCTAAAAATTCAATCAATGCTGTAAGTAAGCGTAAACTTTTAGACGGCTATCATATAAATAAGTTGTACTCAACAGTTAAACATGTATCTAAGTATTACTTGTACGGTTTGCTAATGATGAAGTCCTCACAGCCGATGGCGCTGCTTACGGTGGTCATGTTGATAACGCAATGCATGAGAACGATGATTATGAGAATGGTGGCTTTGGTGAAATGCGATAGTTGAGTTAACATGGACGTAGCTATAAGCGCCAACACCATGAACTAAATGAAATACTGCAAGCGGTAGATGGACTATTATATAAATTAAATTTTGATTTACATTTTAATAGGTACACGGCTTTTAACTGTAATAATACTTAATATTTATAAGGTTTTCAAGTGGCTCAAATAGCGTTTTTTTGAAAAATCCGGATTTTCGTATGAAACAAGTAGTATTAAAAAAAATAGATATTTTGTACTTACGTTTGTATATTTACGATTTATTGGAATATTGAGACGATAAAATCCATTTTCTCGTTCCAATAGACAGTTCAAATATATTTCTAAATAGCTATGTCTGTAGTAATTAAACAACCTAATTTTAATTGCAGACCTCTGCTAAAAAAAATAACTTGAATCCCTACATTTAAATACTTAGGGATTCAATTACAAATGTTTTTGTTTTCGAAAATATAATTTGATTGTAAATCTTATACAATTTTTGATTTCAATAATCCTATTATTACAATTAATGGATGACTTTTTTTTTAATCTAAAAACTACCCTTAGGAGTTACCGGCCTGTAACTCCTAGCTGGAGCTCTTTACAATTCTTATCAAACTTCAAAGCATAGACTTCAAATACATATAATTTATTGTATTTCATGAAATTTTTTTTTTAATTAAAAGAATCCTCCCTCTAAATCCAAAAAAGGAGGCAGACTTTAAAATGTATATGAAATTCGAATGCGGTGACCCCATAAACATATATTTTGACGTTTTTATAATTGAAATTCAGGAGATATTTATTTCGATCGTCTTTTTAGGATTTGAACTTTGAAGTCGCTGTGAGCCGGAGCTAGTCACACTGTAATAAAAAATAGTATATGCGTATCATAGGCAAGTAACCGCAGCGAAAATTGTTAGGTATTAAAGTTATAATATACTGTAGCATCACTGTATGAGATAATAACATTAACCTCACTATATAGTTAACCCACTTTACCGGTTATTTAATAAGATAAAATAAATTTAATTTGTAATATACATACCTGCGTATAATAAAAAGTTACAAAGTATTGTAAGAGCGGTACGGTCAACACATGATATGGCCGTGTCATGTGCTGGCGACGGGTGTCCGTTGATCGACCTGATTGTAGCGGAGGGAAACAGGCGGCAGAGATTGTCGGATGATACCTGGCTGGCGTGACATTCAAATTTCGCCGCCAACAATCATAATAATAATAAATTCTTATCATACGAATCGCAATCGTTCCATTACATGCTGCTTTAAAACTTTATTAAAAGACGTATATAAAAAGTTCGGTTCAACATTTTTTTATTTTTATTTTGAACTTGAGTCAGCATAAAAATTTAATGAAATTTATAAAAATTTTTATGTGTCTTTCAATTTTTGGCTAATTGAAATGTTGAAAAAAAATTGTTTAAGGATATTATAAAAAAGAAAGAACACTTCAATTACAATTGTTCAGTGAAAATTCCATTTCGGTATCATAATTAGTCATTAAGTTACGTGGTGTTTTTACAATAAATGTATGGAATATAGCATCACCTAACTCCAAACAAATTTGTTTTAACAAGTATTACATTTTTATCTCAACATAAAAATTAATAACATGTGCAAAATGTTGATATTCTATCATTGTATACATAGTGTATACGTCATAAAATTGAAATGAAATCTCCAAAATCCATTTAAAAATAGGCTAATTGACATGGTCAATTTTTTTGGACGACAATTACTTAAGTTTTAAATAAATAAAACCCTAACTATTTCATTATTAAATTTACATAATTTATACAAATAAAGAGTTTTTCATAACTCTATATTTAAAAAAAAGCCAGAACAGTGGGGTCGGGGCATAGTGGAGACGGGGAGGACACAGGTTTACGGGAATTTTTAAATCTGAAAGTGATAAAATCACTTTCGAAAAAACGCTTCGATGCAAATCGGTAGTTAGTATTTTCGAGTCAGTACAGTCCAAACCATGCTCAGTATAAGTTAGAAAGTATTAAATTGAATAGGTCATTTCAAAAACGACTTAAGTCACCGATTTTTCAATTTAATACTTTCTAACTTATACTGTGCATGGTTTGGACTGTACTGGCTTGAAAATAATAACTACCGATTTGCATCGAAGCGTTTTTCGAAAGTGATTTTATCACTTTTAGATTTAAAAATTCCTGTAAACCTGTGTCCTCCCCGTCCCCAATATGCCCCGACCCCACTGTACTGGTTTTTTTTTTTGCAAAACCATAGTGGACCAAATAACACATATACAATGTCTTGTTAAATTTAGTTGGAATCATTTGTACTCTATAGTTTAAATTATAATCGCTTATTCTCAATAAAATTAATATTTATGTATTATATACTTCCATTAGAGCAATCTCACACTAAATGTTTATACTTCATATATTATATTCTTTCAAAGCTCTATTATACTTATATTTTACTAGATTGACAATGTACAAAACAAAATGCAACTAAAAAAACCTTTTCATAGATCCTTAAGTTGTAAAGGGTGAGGCAGTGAAACGGGGTTTTCCATTTAAATACATCGGAAAATCGCTCGTTTTACTGCCCCACCCTGTACATATTTGTATGCAAAATAATTAAAACAGTATAATGAAAATAAATAGAAATCATTTTAAAAGACCTTTAAATTTCAACTAAATACAGGGTGATACACTTAGCGTGAACCACTCAATATCTTATAGGTTTTAATAAGAAATTAACCTTTTTTTTTATATTGTTTTTATACAATGTGATCTCAATTTTTTACAATTTTTTTTTGTATTTACTCCCCTTCAAACTTAGCTTTTTTGATAGCAACTTTTGAAACTTAAATGGTAACGTATATATTTTATTAACTTTTTAAATTGAGAATAACGTACTAAATATGTTGACTGGTGGATAACCAGTTTTGGATAACTATTGTTGAAGTTATAAGAGTTTTAAAACTAGAGTGGGAGGGGAAGTGCGGTTGGGAAATGAGCGCAGATAAAAATAATACTACACTCCACCATTCCTCCTGTCCTTAACTTGAAACTTCAATAACTTCAAAAATAGTTATCCAAAACTAGTTATCGACCAGTCAAAATGTTTAATGTATTATTCTCAATTTAAAAAAATAATAAAACATATACGTTACAATTTAAGTTTCAAAAGTTGCTATTAAAAAAACTAAGTTGGGAGGAGGGTAAAAACAAAAAAAATTAAGATCTCATTGTATAAAAAAAAAATGAAAAAAGTTTTTCAGCCGAGTGTGCTACCACGAAAGAGCATTTTCATGTCTCGTTGAAGTACCGAATAAATTTAGAGTAGTGGTGGAATTATAGACAATTATATAGTATATTAAGAAGCAGTAACAAGCTAGTATCTTAAAACATCAAGTTTCTGGCTAATATTGTAGTGTTTAATATCTAGCTTAAAACAATTCATAGAGAATTTGGGTCCTTAAACTATTTTGAATTTATCATTTAGTTCTAATTTGAACGTTGAACGTACAACATATCTTTCACCCCCTATCTCCTACCCCTTATCTCCCACCCCTATCCCCCCTATCTCATATCTCTTACCCCCAACCCCATTCCCACCCTAACTCCATCTCCATGTGGTAATTTTTCGTTACACTTTTTTGGTAACACTAAGTAAATAACGCTTTTTTCGGTTATGTGCTAGAGCTAAGACATGAAAATGTCAAAAAAACTTTTAGCTTCGATGCAAAGCGAGAAGGTA